AATATGACAAATGGATTAAGACCCCACTTACATATGTGGTAGCTAGGGACTATGAAAATGTAAGTGATATATTGATAAATGATGAGATTTGATAGTAGATTCAAGTTATTACTGAGTACTGACAGCAATAGACTATGAAAAGGTTAAAACCTGCTTATGAGAAAAAGAATCCGAAATAGAAGGAAAGAGACATTAAAAATGGGTTAATCCTTGTCCTTGGGTTGTTGGTTTGAAACTTTGATGTAGGAAGGGTTAGGCTTTTCAGGGTAAATTTTTTAAGTGGAAAAGGTGATTGTTAAGTATGGGGTTATAAATGAATCAAAGTGCAGTAATTTGAATCCGTGTGTATGTGTGGGTAAACTGGAGAAGGATTTGAGAAAAAAAAAAACTAAGGGTCATTGGTTGGTACAGTGATAAAAGCTCAGCTGACTCAATTAAAGCTCTCTCAAGTTTGATTTCCTTTAGTTTGGTCTCGATTTGGGTTTGGCCTTTTTTTACATGAATAGAGTGAGCTACATGAATTCTCTTTTTTTATTTATTTTATTATAGCCATGACTATAATATTTATTTTTTTGAAATAATTTTTTATTATCTTATTCCATGTTAGTTTTGATCGATCTTGTTGTCGTTTACCTTTTATGTAAATATATCTTATTTTTCTTATTGGCGCGTCATATGGTTTACATTCTATGTGGTCATACTATTTAAGTCTTATCTTATTTTGTCACTAATAGGTGGTGTGTTAATTCTTTATTTTATTTTTATTTTTATTTTTTATCACTTTTATTAGTAAATCTTTCTTTTCTGTTAACTAATATTTACCATTCCCATTTCTTTTTTTCTTTTTCCTTTTTCAAAAATAACATTCTCATTTTTACAACATGAATGTGTTATTTTTGTTTCTTTTTTACATCTAACACTAATTACAAGAAAAGCAACCAATTATTTCCAGACTTCTTGGGACGGGATTCAATATAACCCGCTCCACCTCACCCCATTGGGACGGGTTTGGGATCTTTTTAATAGGATTAGGGGAGTTGGGGAAGATACTTTAAACCAATCCTGCCCTGTACCCCCAATTAATAATAAATATGTAACTAAATATTTTTTATTAATTATAGTTTTTCTTTTTCCAAAAAAAATGATACTTAAATTTTGTAAAAAAAATATATATATATCTTAAATTTATTCAAATTTGATTTTTTTTTTCAAGATAAATATATGTTGGACTGACCTCAACCTAGCTTTTTATATGCGTGACATGTTTTTGAAATAGGGGTGTTCCAACTTAAACCGGCTGGAGCTTTATGCGAGTTAGTGATCGTCTGAGGCCCCAGCCAATAGGAAGGCCTCTAAATTTTTTTACTTCCTTATATATTATAATCTTTTTAAAAAATTTATTTTTTATTTGTGTTAAATAGAGACATTTAATAGTGGGCTTAAAAAACTCTATCCATTCTCACCTTTATTTTTTTATTTTTTTATTATTATTTTTTCTCCTTTATATATTAAAACTCTTCTAAAAATTTTATTTCTATTAGATCTTAACAACTAGAAAGATTTAATAGTTGGCCTAAAAAAATTTTATTCTTATTTCACATTCTCCTTTAATATATATATATATTTCCCAATGATCATTTCACCCATATATATTTAACGTTGTAGTGTGAATTGATGAAACCTTCCATATTCTTCCAAGACTCCTACTACATATTTATTTTTATCTTCTCTTTTGTTTTTCATTTTTCTTATTCCTCACATATTTTCTCAATATTTCACCTGTGAGAAAATTTTGTGCAGACTTTATTCTATTGAATAATTTGTTGAAGCCTTGGATCAAATTTTTCAAAATCAGATTCTATTGTTCTATAACTTAAATTATTTTATAGTTTTATTCATTTTTGTTATCATAAAATCTTATATTTTGTTTGTGAGTTGTAATAATTTTTTTATAATTATTGTTGAATATGTTTATTAAAAAGTATGAATCTGAATATGAAAAACTTAAAAAGAAGAGAAAATTAGAAAGACTAATTAAATCTGAAAAATTAATAAATGAACAACCAAGTTTTGTAGAGGAATTAGAAGAGTAATTATACATTAATGAAAGAAAAAGATATTAGTGACTAAATATGTGATAAGAAAAATCTTTATGAAAAACAGCAACAAAAAAAGAAAAAAAAGAAGAAAGTGAAATAAAAAATCATATTCTATTCCCAAAAATATCTATGACCTCGGACAATGAAAAAATATTGATAAGAGATTTATTAGTAAAAAATGGTCAAATTAGATATAATGATTTAATTATCCTAAAGATGAAAATTTTAGGCATTTTTCAACTACGTACATATTATATTTGAAAATTACTAATGGAAAGAAACATTATAGAAAATGTCACGTGTATTCAAAAGATTTGGATATAGTGTTTTGTCTTTTGTGGCAAGTTATTTAATTCAAAGTAATATTCAATTAGCTAATAATAAAACTAAAGATTGAAAAAAACTGAGTGCCAATTAAATTTAAAAATTATATAACATCAAATGAGAATATTCTAACATAAAAGACCACTTTATTTATTTTGCAAGGTCAAATTATATTAAGCCGCCCAGTTGATATCCTACTTGGACGTATGCTTTACAAGCTACATTTCCAATTCTTAAACAAATAAATTTATTTCCCTCTTCGAAGATGTTTCAAGAAAAATAAGTTTTTTTGGCTATCCCATCAATAAGTGTTAAATAAAAAAAGGACTTGGATCCTCTAACTTAAATATTCTCCAAGTTATCCTAAGTTGAATTCTCTAATCCTTACTGATTGAGGTATTAAAACATGTCAACTAATTTAAAGAAAGTTTGAAAACTGCACTGTTTTGATATAAGAAAAATTTATCAAAGTTTAAAAACTGCACCATTTTGAATTAAGAAAAATTTACCATACTCTAACTACTTTTAACATCGTTATCTCTCTCTCATCTTTTCCAAAAAAAGATCCTCCTTCTCTCTCTTCTTTATTCCTATCTTAAACCAGTCGCGATGGTCTCAGTTTCTCTTTTAACCACACGTTCTCTCTCATCTTTTCTATATATATATAGGACTTTTGGTTGTATTTTCATAACTCCATCATTATCTATGCTTATATATATATATATATATATATATATATATTCTCTTCCAATCATTACTATTGTAGTAAAAGTTGCATGTCTTGCAATCACATTTTCGTCCGTCTTAATTCCATGGCAAAGAACATTCATTTTTTGTACGAAATATTCCCCCAATCATGGGAATGACCAAGGGGAGATAGGGGGAGGATTTTTTTTTTAAAAGATGAGGGAGAGATAACGACGTTAAATGTTGTTAGAGTATGGTGAATTTTCCTTAATTCAAAATGATATAGTTTTAAAACTTTGGTAAATTTTTCTTATATCAAAACAATGCAATTTTCAAACTTTCTTTAAATTAGTTGATATAGTTTAACCCCATCAGTAGATATATTTTAAATGTCGCGTGTCAAGCTGTAAGGAATTCAACTTAGAATAACTTAGTCAACGGCTTTAATTTCAGAGGTATTATTATAATCTTCAGAACTATCTGCCACGTGGGGGTTCAACATATTTTTTTCATATAATTTCTTATTAATGTGCATCTTTCCAATTCTCTTTATTAAATTGATGAGGGAAAATGTTATAATGTTATAAACATTGATGAGTTGTGTGTAATCATTATATTCCTCGGGATGGAAAGTAGTAATTTTTATCTAACATTATCCGATATGTATTTATACGGTAATAGTAATTATTATGAAATTTGAAATTTTAGAGAAAGATAATCAATCAAAAGAGTAGTCATGAGTCATGACTAGAGAATTTATTATTATCTATCCAAAAAAGAAAGATAATTAAATTATTAATTAAAAGAATTATAGAGTAGTCATGACATTTAAGAAAAAAAATTAAAAGGCTAGTTTAGAGGTTTGATTTTAATATATGTTCAAACTAACTGGAAGATCTGAAATTAAACTGCATTTGCATAAATCATTTGATTTGAAATATAGATATGGATTTCAAATAAATTCTTCAAGGTTTATTCCTTAAATAATAGGAAAGGAATTGTGAGACATTGGTTGGTAGAGATTTAGAACAAATTGAAACTTTTTATTGTCCAATATATGTTTGAACTTGGATCCTCTCCTATGTCTTTTTCATATTTGATATGTACTTTTACATCGCTTATGCAACAACTTATCATCAATAACATAACAACTTTACATCACTTTGTAACAATTACCTTACATAGTTTTTCATGGAGTTACATTTGGTGACATAGCTGTTGTAAATATTTATACAAAATGAATACAGAGGAGTGAATTTTGTTCATGTTAGATAATGTCACAACCTAGTAATGGTTGAAAATGGAAAAGAGTTGTTCGATATGAATAGATCATCCTCTATACGTAAAGATCTAAGATATTCCTTTATACGAAAAGATCTAATAAATATCGATCACTTGCCTTGCAATATACGATTGTTCAACTGGGGGTTGATATAAGTATGGACGCTACTTCTAATAATGCCGTGTTTATTTTTTTTTCATTTCAGAATCAATGGTTTTAAGATATTTTTGGATGTCTGATCTATGTTAAACATGTTTATAATCTGTAAAAATGATTATTTTTTGACACAGTGATACAGGAGCTATATCCACTTCATGTTAAAATCGATATATTCCTGAAAACGTGTGTAATATATGTATCTTGAACATGTGTTCGATATATTTTGAACTTGTCCATGGACAAAAAAAAAGTGCGGACAATACTTCTAATAACGACGTGTTTTTTTCATGTTAGAATCAATGGTTTTAAGATATATTTGAACACTTGTATGTTATATGTTGAACAAATTTATATTTTGTAAAAATTATTACTTTTTGACATGCGATACATGAGCTACACTTATTGAATATCCACTTCATCTTAGAATCGATATACTTTTGAAAACATGTGTAATATATCTTAAACGTGTGTTCGATATATTTTGAACTTGTCTGTAATAATGAGATTAACTCCTTGCGACCCATGTGAATATGATTATTGGTTATTTTTCATTTTTGTTAGATGAGGAGCGTTACTTAAATAATATATATAAATATGTGTATGAGAGCCAATTATCACTTCATTTCACTTGCCCAAAAAATAAGTTCTCACTTCATTTCCTTTCTTCTGCATTTTCCATCAAAACTATTGCCATGGAGAACTAGAGGTCGCCAAAAGATTGACATGAAGAAGAGAGAGAACGAAGAAGACCGCCTCATAACCTTCTCAAAGCGCCGAGCTGGCCTTTACAAGAAGGCGAGTGAGCTCTGTATTCTCTGCGACGCAGACATTGGCGTTGTTATCTTTTCTCCAACTGGGAAACAATTCTCATTTGCTCATCCCAGTATAGAGTCCATCGCGAACCAGTTCTTGAGCCGCAACCCTCAGCCAAATGAGAGTGCTTCTCAGCTCTTTGAGGCTCACCGCAGGGCTAGAGTCAACGAGCTCAACGAGAAGCTCAATGATCAGACAGCTAGGGCAGATGGTGAAAAGGAGAGAGAGAAGATGCTAGAACACATTGCAAGAGGTCGCGGAAACCGGAACTGGTTTGATGCATCCATTTTGGATGGGTTGAACAAAGAAGAGGTTGATAGATTGATTGCACGTTTTTTGGAGGTGCAGATGATGTGCTACAACAGAGGGAATGAGTTGGCTGTAGGGATGGGGACTTCGTCTTCGTCCTCGGCTCGTGCAGGTTATCCGGTAATTTCAGGTCCAAGCCAGGGTCCTTCTGCTGCTCCTCCAAGCTATGACTATGACTAAGGTGGCATCCAGTGATTTCTGAACAAATGAACTAAATAAGGTTTTTATACTACCATAGTTATTTAAGTTTGTGTTATGGTTTGAAGTTGCTTATGATGTGAGAATGAACCCTAGATTTATTGTTTTGTGTTCAAGATGTTAATTGGGAAAATTGATGAAATCTAGGGTTTGATCTTTGTATCCCACCATTAGCACACCTTTCATGAGTAGGCGTGTCATATAAATTTAAGAGGATATATCTATTGCAGTCTTATGATGGACTTTAATTAATTCCTCCATTATTTTCTGCCTTTTGTTGTCCTAATTAATGTTTTACAAAATGTATATATGACATTGTTGTGGTTAGTCATGGTTACACAACATGAAACACCCGAGATAGACGAAATATTCGACATTATTTTGAACAAAGTTCTTGTCCTTACACTTTTTGAAATTCTGTTTTTTTCAAATCAATTTCTTCTAATTAGGAAAAAAAATAAAAAATCAATTTCTTTATATTACTTACTAATCTAGTTGTGCGTTTTTCCAATTCTGATTTTTTTTTTTTTTAAATTAAACTTTCTGCTGGATCTAATAACAAATCCGAATATTTAACTTTAAAATAACTTGACTGAAATTGTGCAAAAATGGGATGAGTTTTTGCCAAATTAATTTCAACAGATCAATAAGCTTCATTAAGAAAAATCTACCAAATAATTTTTTTTCAATCTATTGGCCTTTCCCACATTAGGCAATCCAATTTTATCTAATCAAATTCTTTCCAAAATCTTCAATGGTCAAGCTATAATAGTTATATATATCAAACAAAAATGTTCAATATTTTCATAATGAAATCAATTAAACATAACAAGAAAGAAATTAAAAACTTCCCAAATGAAGGATTGGAATTCCATAGTACATATATATAACAACTACAAAAGCACATCCCTGCAAGAATAACTGACTGCAGCAAATACAACCTTTGATGAGGCAAATGATATTTTGTGGCGATGCTGCTTTGTTCCTAAATGCCCTTGTATTTCTTTCCAACCATAGGAAGTAAACTGCGGCATTAAAGAGAAGCTTGTGAACATTGAACTGTAGTGGATTCCATGTACTGAAACTGCATTTGAAGAAAAGATTATCAGGTGACTCATATCCAGAGAGGCACAGGTAGTATGCATCGGTGTAGTGCTTCTTCCTCATTGCCTTAAGAGTCCACCCCTTCGACTATATTGCTCTAATATATCATCCTTTTGCTGAATTGCTGAATGATTCTTTTTTCAATAGTCAGTCTTCTGCAATGGTGGGTTAATAATAAATGAATGAAAAAAAAACTATATTTTAAGTGATTTTACATGTGAAAATTTTAACCATTTGAAGTGAATGAGAGAAGAGAAAATAAAAAGATAAAAATTATATAAATCTCACATGAATTTATCTAATAATGGTTACATTTTGTCTGTTTATTTAGTTAGCACAAGGATGCTAAGTTAGAAGGGTCAAAAAAATGTGGACTATGGCAAAAAGTCTGAAGGAGACATCTTTGATTGTCCATTTGTTAATATAAATATCATTAATGTATTATCTATCTATTTTATTTTAAATATATACATCATTTTTTTTTTTTTTGTCTCAAAGATAAAGTAAAGTAAATTTAACATTGAGTAAAATGATGAAATTTTATACAATCGTTAATATTTATAAATATAGAAATTGACTGTTATTTACAAGATCCTTTTTGTGGAAAAATAATGTTTACATGATCAAATTTATATGTTGAGCAGAGACTTAATGCTATACTGTTTAGTTTTGTTTCTCGGGTTGATGTCAATTCTTGTTCCAAAGAAACGAAAATCCTTATTAAGACCGGATTGTTTTGTTTTTCTTTGTTCGGCTTTGGGCCTTGCTGGGCTAAGCCTATATATATATATACATATAATACACTATTATAGAAAGAAGATCGAGATTTCATTATACATACAGGGAAAGAAAGAGAGTGTTTTCCTCGGGAGGAGCTAGGGTTTGGATTTGAAGATCGATCACTAAAACTTGGGTTCGATCAGCAATGGAGAACAAGGCAAAGAGACAGAGCAAGGGACGACAAATAATCCCGATGAAGAAAATACCGAGCAAAAACAACCTACACGTGACCTTCTCGAAGCGCCGGAAAGGTCTCATGAAGAAGGCCGGTGAACTGAGCGTCCTGTGTGGTGCGGAGGTTGCCGTTGTAGTCGTGTCACCTGCCAAAAAGATCTACACCTTCGGCAGCCCGGCCGCCGAACCAGTCATCGATCGCTTCCTCGCCCAATACCCTAACCCTAACCCTAATTCTTCCACAGTGTCACCATATGATCATGATGATAATAAGCTCAGAGTGCAACTTAGCAAGAACAAATATTTGGAGGCTTTGGGTGAGTTAGAAGCCAAGACAAAGCAAGGAAAACCGAGTGAAACCGGGTATTGGTGGGAGGGTCCGATTCAAGAATTGGGGCTACAGGACCTTGAGCATTATATTGCTTCATTGGAATTGTTGAATAAGAATGTGAAGACTCGAGCCGATCAGATGGTAAACGAAGCGGCGTCGAAGAATAATTTGATCATGAATCAAGCGGCGGCGGATCAGACGACAATGGAAGGTTCGAAGAATAATTGGATCATGAATCAAGGGGCGGATCAGATGGCAATGGAAGCGTCCAAGAATAATTTGATCATGAATCAAAAGGCGGATCAGAAGGCAATGCCGCCATCCAGTTTCTTGGCTTCTGATCAGAATGATCAGAATCTTCCGTATTTTCCGTTGGAAGGCACTGGTTTTGGTAATGATTTTGATTACGAGTTTGGTAATTACGATTTTGGTAACTTTGAATTGGATTTCTAGTTTCTTGGATTTGTATGTAAACCCTAACTTTGAGAAGGGTCTGCTAGCTAGGGTTTAACTTCAGGTTTTATTAATTTATTCTTTTATTAGTGGTGAAACGCCCTAATTCACCTAGGGTTTTTCTAGGGTTTATTATATACGATGTGACTTTACATGGAGAGCTTGACAGATGAGTTCAAATAATATGGTATAAAATTAATTAATACCAGTTATATTAATAGTAAATTGAAGCTGTTTGGATGATATTAAGCTAGCTTTTAGTTTTTCCATGTATGTCATATGTAAAATATGTAATATATATTAATCCAAATAACTTGATATCTATAACACTTGCCTTTACACTAATGCCCATTTGTGGCAAAAGATCAAAATCTAAATGATCTTAACAGGACGCTTGTGTTGTGTCGTGTTACACTTTAGACTAATGCCCATTTGTGGCAAAAGATCAAATCTTCTCACATCAAGCTCAAACAACTGTGTGCTTTTTCACTTAAAATCTCTTCTTTGCAAAGTTCCAAGTAAAACTCAAGACATACAGAGTCTAAACTACGGACGAAAAACCGAGGAAAATTCATAGCCAACGGCTTAGGAAACAAGCTGGTCGAATTTTACAAGTATAATTTTTAAAAAAAATACAGAGCTCTAGATTGATAGCCTAATGAAAGAGGATGGGAGATCCCGGCCAGTCCTCCAATGCACGAAGAGGTTCCTCTCAATGTTTCCATGTAGTAGAGATCATCTTCCCTCTAATGGTTTCAACTATACACTTGAAGAGTTGGGTAGAAGAGGAACATTTTCCTTGAAAGATTCTGCAATTTCTTTTCTTCCATATGTAGTGTAGTACAAGCTAGCTGCCAGACTCATTTTGCACATGCAGCCAAGAAGAACACAATTTGGAGTCATCTTTCCAGTGATGAGAGGACCATAGAATAAGATCATTCCAAGACGAAGGCAGAATGTGGAAACGGCATTTGAATTGAATGAAACTCCAAATAGGCTTAGTGTACGTATTCACATTCATAGAACAGATGAGAATGAGATTCAGCACTTGACGAGAGCAAAAGCAACAGAAATTGGGCCAATGAATGTCTCCATGATTTGAAGTTTTTCTTGAATATATAGCCAACCATAACATGAAGTTATGACTAGGAGGAATGCAAGGTGTGAACCAAACAACATGAGCCCAAGTGATTAATCCTTGCAGAGATTTTTTCCACCGAAGTGCTTGATTGGAGTATAATTTTGCCCTTGAATTGTTGTTTGAGAGTCCAAAGTGTGCATTTGCTGGTCTAATATCTTTTGCTACTCCTTTCGCAAATCATTGTAACTTTTCAATGAAACAAGTTAACAATAAAGTGATTGATATGCATGGGATGGAGATGAAATGAATCAATTTAGTATGAACTTATTTAACATGAAAAAATAAAAATAAAAAAAAAATAATTAATTCTCGGAGTACCTTCAAGTAGTTAGAGAGAGCATACTAGTAGAATTGAATAATCCTCGGGAAATCAAAGTTAAATCTAATACCAACTGATTATTATTTAACATTGTATCTTATGCTCGAGGGAGGGATGTAAAGAATCGAATCCCAAACAAAATGGTAGTGTAGAGGTAGATAGTGAAATGAAATAATTTCAAAACATGATTAATTCCTTCCAACAAAAATTGTTCATCGAATGATAATGTTTCGTGTAAATTAACCACCCAAACATGATTTAATTAAATAATTTTACTTCATTTTGATTGCGAAGAAGAAGATTGCCACTGTGATTGATTTTTTTTTTTTTTACTTTTTCCGGACTCTATTGCCTTCTGTGCTTGAACTGGCCACTGCCCTCTATGGTTGAATGGGAAGGATTTTTTTATATATATTTTTATGCTTTGCGAATTTCCTTCCATGGTTGAACGGATAGCAAGGATTTATTTGTTATGCTTTGTGAATTTCTTAATTAGCCAGTATGGTCAAACGCAAGGACAAATTTTTTTTTCTTCTTCTTTTTCTTGGGAATGACGGCAAATAGTATAAAAGAAAAATATAACCAAATTGATTTTAATTTAGTTTCTATTAAAAATATGTCTAATTTTATCATTTCTTGTTAATAATATATAATCATAATAAAAAGAAAAAGAGTAAGTTTCTTAAAATATAAAAAAGAAAACTGATTACCAAATTGGCTAGGAAAGGTGTTTAAGGGAACTGTATATTACTATATATACATACACACTAAATATATATAGTAGTGCTATTCATACCCTAAAAACTTCCATCACGACACGACCCGACCCGACCTCCTCCTTCCTCTCTCTCACGAAATCTGCCATCCCATAAAAACTTGCGACAAGTTACACGGCTGCTATGCTATAAGAAGCAGCAACATTACTTTCCAGAAATTCAGATTCTATTGGATCTTCAATAGTGGGACAACTCACGCCAGAACAATACACTCAACTGCCTCTCACTTTTGAATATTGATAGTCGCAATTCTTCAGCGAATTTAGCAGGTATTTCTTTTTCATGCCCTTTATTTAGTTCACAGCCAATGTCATGGATTATTGAGACCAAGGGCGGAGCCAATTAAGGCCTGAGGCACGTGTCTTTGACCTGGCCCGCCCAATAAAATATATATAGTTAATTTGTAATTTTTTTTAATATATAATATATGAAAAATTATATATGGTGCCCCTTCTAAATTTTTAATTTTTAAAATTATCTTAACTTTTTCTTTCTTTTGTTCTTTAAATTTATTTATAAAAAAAAAAAAAAAAGTCAAATTTCCCTTTTTAAATCATAATGTAATTTTTTTTATGTCTTGGATTATTGGTCAGAACAAGGGCACCCTCGCCCGTCCAATAAAATATATATAGTTAATTTGTAATTTTTTTTAGTATATATGAAAATTTATATATCATGCCCCCTCTAAATTTTTAATTTCTAAAATTATCATAACTTTTTTTTTCTTTTGTTCCTTAAATTTCTAAAAAAAAAAGAAATCAAATTTCCTCTTTAAAATTCTTGTCTTTGCGTGTTATATATTAGTTGACTTTCTTTTTCTTTTTTTAAACTGTGTCCCCTATGAATTAAAATCATGCCTCCCCTTGTTGAGACACTGGTGCTTCAGAACACAATGTTCCTTCCACTGTAAATCTCCATTACACTAAGCATATTATACGGACAACGAATCAACTTCTCTGTAAGATTTATTTCAATTTTTAGGTTTTGTTAATGGATGTTCATGTTCTTGGGTTAGTATTTCAGATGTCTTTTGACGAGACTGTTGGTTGTGGTTTACATGTTTTGGGGTTGTAATCGGGTAGTATTGAGTGTTTTGGGGATGATTTAATTGTTGGTTTGGTTTTGAGGATACTAAAAAAATCAGGGAAGTCTGCACCAAATATTGCAACAAACTCATAGTCTTTGACATATTCACAGGCCATGGCTGACTTAAGATTGCCAGTTTTGTACCCTGTTCTGATGAATCAATGTCTATAGATTATGTTTCCATGAAAAGACTCTCACACACAGATTTCAAATGCAAGCACACACTGTAATTGGTTTTTTTTCATGACCACTGTAATTCACTTCACCTTGTGCTTTTTCCTGCAGGCGTGCGTGTACTGTAACATCTCACTAGGACGTACTGCTGTTACACTAGGTGAATTAAAGAGGCTATGGAGAACAAGGCGAAGAGACACAGCAAGGGTCGACAAAAGATCGAGATGAAGATAATAGATAACAAAAGCAACCGACACGTGACCTTCTCGAAGCGCCGGAAAGGTCTCGTCAAGAAGGCGGGTGAACTGAGTGTCCTGTGTGGTGCGGAGGTTGCCCTTGTAGTCCTGTCACCTGCCAAAAAGATCTACACCTTCGGCAGCCCATCCCCCGACACAGTCGTCGATCGCTTCCTCACCCAATACCCTAACCCTAATTCTTCCACTCTAGTGTCACCACATGATCCACATGATCATGATGATAATAAGCTCCGAGTGCAACAACTTAGCAAGAACAATTATTTGGAGGCTTTGGGTGACTTACAAGCCAAGTCGGAACAAAGAAAACCGAGTGGAACCGGGTATTGGTGGGACGACCCCATTCAAGAATTAGGGTTAGAGGAGCTTGAGCATTTTATTGCTTCGTTGGAAGTGTTGAAGAAGAATGTGGTGACTCGAGCTGATCAGATGGCTCGAGCGGATCAGATGGCAGCGGATCAGATGAAGAATAATTTGATTATAAATCAGGCGGCGGATCAGATGAAAATGGAGAGGGCTACTTTTGAGGCTTTTGAGGCTTTTGATCCAAATCTGCTGCCGATGAGAGGCACTGGTTTTGGTTTTGGTTTTGGTAATGATTTTGGTAATTTTGATTTGAGTTATTATTAGTTTATTGGATTGAGAAGGGTCTGCTAGCTAGGGTTTAACTTCGGTTTTGTTAATTTCTTCTTTTATTAGTGGTGAAACGCCCTAATTATTCACCCTAGGTTTTTCTAGGTTTATTATATATATATACCGTATGCAAGAATGTGACTTTACATGGAGAGCTTCTTCAGACGTGTTTGAAAGAATATGGTATAAAGTAAATTAATAAAAGTGATGTTAAAGTGAAGCTTTTTGGATGATATTAATACCATTGATATGTGTATGTGGTTTTTTCTTGTTATAACATTAATGAACATTACTAGTGGAAGCTAGCCTTTAGTTTTTATATGTATGTCATATGTAATAATATTAATCCAATTAACTTAATAAACTACAACACTTGCTGTGAAAATACCTCTTCTCTCGTCTGGAATTTTTCTGTGCTTAGAATTGATTGCAGTGGGGTGCAAAATTTCTGTGATTTCAGATTTTATGCTTGCAGATCGAGGTGCTTTTGTTACACTTTTGTCCATTTATTTATTTATTATTATTATTATTTTGACAAGGCGGCAAGCTTTTTCATTGATAAACAGGGTAAAAAAAAACAAGATACTTCATCAATCTACATTCAGATCACGATCTACATCCAGATCACGAGTAACAGAATCTTGATACATAATGGAATTTCAAATAAAAACATCGATCTTCTCTAATTTACTCCTAATGGCCCAACCTACTAAATGATGAGCAACACCATTAGCTTCTTGGGACATGGAGACAACTGAGAAATTTGAATGATCTTCCATCCAACTCATAACAATGTAGGAGGAGATATAATGCCATTCACAGCTTTGGCAACCATTTCTGCATCTCCCTCAAAATTTACTTTCTCAAAACCCCAATTCCTCATAAGGTTCATCGCTTTCCTCAACGAAAGAGCTTCAGCCATAGCTGGGTCTGTAACCGAAGAGAATAAAAATATTGCCACTGATTTGAAACTGTAACAGATGGATTGAAATTAGGAGAAATTTTTTTGACTCAGCTTTTAAGACAATATCCATCTCCTTCCACCAATGTTTTTCATAAACCCATGCATTTCGAGCTTTCCAAATCTGCCAACACAAACTTGTTACACTTTTTGTCCATGCCGGCTCAAACCCCTCCCCTCCTCTTTGAGGATGCGCGGAGAAGTATACTATAGAGGCCCGTTGGTAGGAGTGCCGTGAGGTTGGCAAAGCCAGGGTTGGAACATTAGTAGAGTCAATTTGAATGCTCAAATTTTGAGCTAAGAACTCTCAGTTTTCTTTTCACTTTGTTTTGTTCACATATTGAGAAGGAAACTGATAGTAGAGAGACTGTTTGACGAAGAGTTGCCTGTTAGTAATGAACATATTCCAAATTCCAGAATGATTTGGCCTCATCTCATTTTTTTTTATCTTTTTCATTTTTTTCTTTTTTCTTTTTTCTTTTTTCTTTTTTTATCAACAACTGGCCTTTTAATTCTAAAAATGAGAAAGTATTCAATAGCAAAATATAGTATCCGACAAATGTTAATTTGCTATTTTTAAAAAATTAAGACAAATATAGTGTTTTTATTAATCAAGGTACTTAGGGGGCACAGTGCGAAAAAAAGAAAATGAAGAATTTTAAGAAGTAGAAGGAAAAAAAACGAAAAGAAAAATGCCAAACGAATTAGAAGGAAAATTTGACCTTTTTAAAATGGAAATTAAAGAAATTTAAAAAGTAAATGAAGAAAAAAAAAAAAAATGAAAAATTTAAGAAACTTTTGGAAACAATATTTTTAGGGGAGGCATATTATATAAATTTCTATATATATGCAGAAATAATTATAAAAAATCCATATCTATTATATAGGGCGGGGCCAGGCAGTGAGGGAGACTTCTTTCTCTTTTGTCAAAAATTCCTTGTCGAACTACGTATTCTATGTAACATATCATGACTCTTCTTCTATTATTACCTCACAGTTTGATTAACTTTGCTTACCTTTTAACTAAAAAAAAAAAAAACTTTGCTAGCATTATTATTACAAATATATATATCTATATCTATATCTATATCTATACTATTCTAAGAGTGTAGCTAATTTCTTAATATTTTAAAATTTTCAAAAATACAAAATAGTTTTCATTAAATACTTTACATTATATCATATACTTATATATATTCTAATAGCCACATATGATTAAATGGGTCATCTCTCTATATATAAAAGTTAAAAAAATATTCAATAGCCACATGAGTTAAATAAATCTTCTCTTTATATATAGAATTTAAAAAAATTCAATAGTCACATGTGATTAATGAGTTAAATGAGTCATCTCTCTACATATAATAGTTTAAAAAATCTAATAGTCATATATTTTTTATTATTTCTATACATTTTTAACAATTTTGAATTCAAATATTTTTCTAAAGGTTAAACACACGTACCCTAATCAATATTCCGAACAACAACAACATTTTTCGTCCCACTTTTTAAAAAACAGCCCATTTCCCTTCCCTAAAAATTCCATGCCCATTCCACAATATTCCAAATAAAAAATAAGAAATCCCATTTTTTGCGCAGGAGTTCTCAGTAAATAGAAAAAATCAGATATTTTTAATGGCTACCATAGAGCATCACACCCTCCCAATTGTGCAATGGAGGTTGACCTCAAAAAAGCTTTTGATAGCATCCACTGGCAGTTCATAATAGATACCTTGAGGCTCATGGGTTTTCCTTCCTGCTTTGTCCACTGGATTACACAATGCATTACAACCCCATCATATTACATTTCTCTCAATGGTGGCTTATTTGGGTTCTTTAAGGGTCAAAGAGGAGTTCGACAGGGGGATCCCATTTCTCCATTGTTGTTTGTCATTGCAATGGAGATCCTTACTCTCTCCATTGATAACTCAGTTGCTAGAAACCCTGGCTTTAAGTACCATTAGAGGTGTAGCAAAATGGGATTAACCCACCTTACTTTTGGTGATGATGTTATACTGTTCTCACATGGTAATCTCTCCTCAGTGCAAGTCATCTTTCAAGCACTTAATCATTTCCTAATTTTCTCTGGATTGACCATCAACCTCTCCAAGAGTCTGGTCTACTTTTCTGGAGTTGACAACTAAATAAGAGCTGATATACTTACACTTCTCCAATTTGGAACTGGAACCTTGCCCATAAGCTACCTGGGTTTACCACTTTCATCCAAAGCCATTAGCTCCACTGATTGCACCTCTCTTGTTGATAAAATCACTACAAGAGTGACGAGGTGGTCATCCAAGTTCCTCTCATTTGCTGGGAAAGCTGTCCTTATCAAATCAATTCTCTACTCAATGCAATCCTATTGGGCTCAAACATTTGTTTTACCAAAAAAGGTCATTGATGATGTGAATCAATTAAATTTTGATGAGATTTCTGTGGTCTGGTCCAGAGTTGAAAAGATCATGTGCTAAAGTTGTTTGGGAGGTGGTTTGTAGGCCCAAGATTAATGAAGATTTAGGGTTTCCAAACCTTGAAATGACAAATAGCATTGCTAACCTTAAGCATATTTGGAAGCTCTTTGCTAGAAAGGAGAATCTCTGGGTTGCATGGTCTTATAGGTACCTTATTAAGAATAAGAGTTTTTGGTCTGTCAAAACTTCAGCGTTAAGCTTGGGCTTCTGGAGGAAATTACTGAAACTAAAGGATATGGCAAGGGGCTTATTGAAGTATAAAGTGGGGAAGGGCACGGATACAATGATGTGATTGGATTATTGGTTGCCAAATGGACCACTTCTGAACCAGCTCAACCTTAATGATGAGGAAATTCTTCAACTGGACTTCAGAGTCAAAGTTGATAGCCGAATTTCCCTTAATCATTAGGAAGTTCTAGCATCACTAGCTTACATACCTTTTTTCCAGTCACAAAATTTTCATTCACAACTTCAAGAGCTACCAACTCCATCAGAGGAAATGGATTCAATCATTTGGTTGCCGGCCCTCACCAAATGATAATTTCTCTCTTGCTCATACATCTAGATACCTCCTTCCTCCCACTTTCATCTTCCCCTGGTACCATATTGTATGGTTCAAACACCATATCTGTAATACCCTTAATTTTCAAAAGGATAAAATTAGAATTTATATTTGATTCTATGTGCATTTATAAATTGATTTTGTGGCTATGTGATTATGTGTCAAATTGTTTATTTGAGTAGTGATTTATTTTAATTAATTGTTTTATTTAAATGATTTGTTTTCTTTAATTGTGTTTATTTGAATTAATTATTTATTTATTTGCATTTGTTAATTGATATTTGAATTAAATTAGTAATTGTTTTATGTGAATTATTTGACTTATTTAATTGTTTCATTATTGGGTGCTATTTTCTTTAATTGTTAATTGTATTGTTTTAATTGTAATTCACTGGTTTTAATGAGATTTAAATTATTATAATTCTTGTAATGTTAAAAATTAGGTTAGTATATTTAAGTTACGGTTATAGCTTTGGATTACAATTCACGTATAGGTAGCCGACGTATACTATAACTTAGGCTGCTCTATGGGCCGACTGGAATTTTCATTAGGGATTTGGCTCTAATATTACAAGGATTTGGGTTTTGGTGTTAAGCCTATAAATGCACCATTATGCTTTAGCCTAGGGTTTACGAGCATAACACATATCACAGAAACGTAAAGTAAGTTCTGTAAAATATAGGGTTGAAGGAACAGAGCACTATAAAGGTTCTCAAGGAAGAAACCAGAGAGGACCAAGGAAGGGTTGTGGTGGATTCTCCCAGAGCACTAGGAGGCTTTACAGTAGTTCATGTTACCGGAACAGTGGACACGACGCTGAGATTTCATAACTGAAATCACAGGCAAGTTATTTTCTTCCTCTTTCCCGTTGGCTCGTGTTCTGCGCACCTAGATAGTCTCTAGGGTTTAATTAATCAGTAACTGGGATTTACATGTTTACAATATGCTATATTGATGATCTGTAAGTGTTGAATTAAATTATGTTACAGCTAGTACATGTTT